TACTTCATTTTTATTGGTATACACATGAACGTTCGCACGTTCGCACGAACGTACAAATTTCAAATTAATACAATTACAAAGTTTATTAAAAGTTTTATCACTTTTATTTTTAAGTGAAGTAAATTACATAAATATACAAAAATATGTTTCATTTAAACTGATTTTTTATTAATAAAACCTCATTTATTGATAGAAATTCGTAGTTAGTAACAGTTTTATTACTATAACATAAATTTACTGAATATTTGTGAAAAAATTGTTTGTAAATATTATAGTATGAAAAAGATAAGCAAATAATTCATACTCGTACAAAATTTGTTTGAAGTTTTTTTGATAACAATTTATTTTCTTTTTTGTATATATTCTGTTATATATTTATTTACATAAATAGAAATAGTTGGATGGTTAATCCACATTTACTTCATTTTTATTGGTATACATATGAACGTTCGCACGAACATACAAATTTCAAATTAGTTTCAATGTCTTTGTGATATTTTTAGTTAGTTTTAGAAAATATTGAATATCTTTGTACACATTTGTTATTGCATGTTTATGCCCATAAATATTGTTTATGTTTTGTGACTATATTTCATCTAAAACTGTGTATATGAAATGTTGATACTTTGTGGAAAAGGTAATGTTTTAGGACACATTTAAATATTATAATATAAGTTTAATGTTAGTTCAATTATTAGTGAAACTGCGGAGGTGTGATATTGCAAACTAGTGCTTTTGAGTAGCCATTAAGTGCGGGTGTACATATCTGGGAGGTGTCGGGTCGTAACCACGTCCGTTGTTAGTGGACACCTACCAAAACATCCGAAGCAAATGGAGATCCTTGCTCGTCAATGACCGAATACATAACTATGCTTTCAATTAAATTGCCAATCAAAACTTCTACGTACGAAGCTTATATATTCATGGTATATTTCCTAATTCACTTGATAATAATAATTTAGATTACATAGTTTAAATTAAAAAAAAAACTATTTCACAAATTATATTTGATGATAATTATAAGAAAAATTGAAATAGTTATGTGAATACAACATTTTTATTCTAAATACAAGTTGACTTAATTGGAGATAATAACTGAAAATGGAGATAGAGTTGAAGATGAATAAGCTGAAAACTGCTTTTTTTCTTTGATGCTTTTAGATTGGTGAGAGAAGTATGTAAATACGTGTTTAGTTGTTTCAGTTCTTGTTGTTGCTTTTATCTCTCTTCCGTTTCGTGTTAACATACAGACATGAAAGTGAAATAACGCAGAAAAGTTTTTTTTTTGTTGTTTGCGGCGTTTATGCGAATTGTCAAAAAGGGATGATTCACGTTGGGAGCGTGTGTGCGTCGTCCTCTTGTCCTGCCGTTGTCCCCTTCTTTTTTTTTGTGATTTCAGAACGACGTCGCCCCGTCACGGTCGTCTGTTGCCCAACGGGATGCCCCCGACATCAACCCCAAACAACGCTCAAATTTATATATATATATCCACACACACTCACATCCATCCAATAAACATATTCATATGGATCTGTGTCAATATTTAAACACGCACCATTTGCCTCCGGGATACCAACAATCCCCATAACAACCGCCCCCACGTTCTCCTATACTCTTCCTGCGAAGCACAACCGTCCACCCACCCACAGAACCAAACCAGAAATCCACCCCTTCTCAAACAGAAAAAAAATCATCAATCGTCTCCGTGTGACACATGCACGATTTAATCCACTGTTCAGCTTAAGCCGATTGAAGAATATTTATTACACGAACTTCCTTAATGGCGACCCCCGATGCTGCTGAATATAAAGTAGGCTCAGCAAATCTGAAGCCAATACCTTAATTAAAGCAAAATACGGGCGCAAATAAAGAACCAATCCGCCATTAGCTCATGGGGTGGTGTGGTGGTGAAGGAGGTGAGGTTCGGAGAGGCATTCCGAGAGGACTTAATAAAACTTCCTTTTCTTCTACCAAAAACCCTCCGGAATTAAAAATAAGAAGGAGCAGGACGCAAGACGTGAGAAAGAGTGTAAAAAAAAATTGCACGCCCTTCGCAGCGTTCAGAATCAACCGATAAAAGGAACCCCATGGAATTCATTAAACTATATACTTGATTGCTTTTGCAAATTGTTCCTACATCCTTTCACTGATTAACTGATAATTTACATTCTCTTTTTTTATATCTTTGTCTTAATCAAATCAAAGTGAAAATTACATTTCATTAACACAAGCTCATACGATTTTAGGATTTCTTTCATTGGGGAAATATACTATAATTAGTTATATAATTTAATAAGTATTTTTAGAGGAAATTATCTATATCCTTACTATAGTTTTTAAATTAATGTATTTTGTATTACATAAAGTGATTAAACTGTTGAAATGATTAAATTATTAGTTATATTCCAGTAAGAAAACTAAAATATTGACTGTAAATATTAACAATAGATGGCGTAACGTCTATTAAATAGTTAAGTTATCAGTTAAAATTTCCAATAACTTTTTGTTTTCTTAAGTAAAATAAACCGAATTGAAACGTGGTTAATCGTCCGAGATTGCAAAGTGGATCTTCCACTCTCATAATTGGGATAATATTAATGGCGTTTTTGATAAGAGGATAAATGAAAATAAATGGGCTTCTTTTGTTTTCGATTCTGGCCGCCTTCCGAAACGCTCGTTAACCGTTTCATTCATTAAAGAAAATGAAACAAAAAAAAATCCATGTAAATATATATATATAACCAATAAATTTGCACCGAAGGAAGAAAAGAACCGCGAAGAAGAACTTAGCCTTATATTAATAATAAAGACGCTGCAATTGTACCGCTGATTAAATATGACAATGGCCTTATTAATATTAATGATGATATTAATTAATGTTCTATTATATTTATTTTGCTGAAAATTTTTCAAACTGCCCGGACGAATATTAATTGAAGCCTTTCCATTGTTTCGCAAAAATCTCATTAATTTCTGCATTGTGTTATCAACTTTGATAACTCAAATTGCAATTCGAATCGATACGTGTATTATTAATTTTTTGCACGTTTTCTCTCGTTTGTGTATTTTTTTTTTAGTTGTTTACTGCAACAAAGTTTTGGATAAATTGAAACGCCAGGTTGTTTTTATTGTTGTTGTTGTTGTTGTTGTTGTCGGGAATTAAAAATAGCTGCGCGTGAAAGGTTTGCAAACCCCGGTGTGTTTCGGATCTAGTTTCGAGGTGAAGTTTTGCTGAATTAATTTTAATTAACGTCAGGTGAGTTGGATTCGAGCGTTGCGGATTGAAAGAGTGACCGCAAATGTGCGAGAGAGTGTATATGTGTGGAGGACCGGATTTTAACTTGAATTAAACACTCCGCGCTGCAGTTGACGGCACGCGGTCATTCCGAAACAGGGACTTTCCTGGTTCACTTTGCAGCCCTTCGAAGGGGTGGTCAGAAAACGCCCTACGACCATTCACTTGCTTCTGCTGCTGCTGCTGCTGCTGCATTCACCTTCCCATCCCTTCTGCAAAACTTCTGCCTAGGTCTGCATTATTCAATGCACCTGGCCCGTCCGGCTGTCACTCAGCGGTCACGTTTTGTTAATTGTTTAACAGCTTCTGGACTATTTGCGCTCGAGATCCATTAAATGCAGATTACACATCGAAATATGGTAGTGGATTCACCGAATATGCAAATCTTGGGGACATCCGTTCTCCGCCTGAATATGCAACATGATATCATCATCATCCTCATATACTCTCACCCTTTCCCTTTCTGCTCCTAATAAACCCCATTAGTTGATATCAAATCCATAAGCAAATACACTTTTAACCTATTGACCCTTGCATATATCTATCCTATATTTACCAATCTATCAAATATTTTTTGAAAAAAATCTTATTTTTACTAATCTATCTTATATTTACCAATCTATCAAATATTTTTTTAAAAAAATCTTATTTTTACTAAAAATGTATAACTAAGGACTTCAGAATCCATAAGCAAATACACTTTTAACCTATTGACCCTTGCATATATCTATCCTATATTTACCAATCTATCAAATATTTTTTGAAAAAAATCTTATTTTTACTAATCTATCTTATATTTACCAATCTATCAAATATTTTTTTAAAAAAATCTTATTTTTACTAAAAATGTATAACTAAGGACTTCAGAATTTTCAAATATCAAAAATTCAAATAAAAGTTCTAAAACGTCTTCTATATTGAGATTATTTGTGTTATGACTTTTGGCTGTTTTCGATTGAAGTTGCCGCGGTAAATTCCACGTTGAATAATTAGCAGCTTTTGTTTGGCGTCGACGTTATATGAAAGTTTCGAAGCGGAGGATTGATTTCAACGGAAAGAGAAAAAGAAATAAATGCCCGTTCCAGATTCCCAAATACAGCGGGAAAGCGGATTTCCCTCCGCTCTTCTATTAAAATAATTGCTAGGATATTTAATGCACGCACGTTTAATTGACGATACCGAAGAAGTATAAACGGAAGTTCTTCAACATCAACGAGGAACTCTCTCATTGTTATTTCATTCTAAACAGCGTAATAACATAATTATATAACTGCATGGAAAAAATGGAATTGCATGTAATCATATAACGTGAGCAGAAAGGAACTGGAGTGAGCGAGGGACGTTGGAAGAAGCGAAAAAAAAAGGATGTGAGTGAGCGTTTGAGTCTGTGCAAGTTTATGAATATGTATGGTAGATGTTGTAGAGATGAGTGGATTCCAGTTGTGCAGGGTGTGGTTTGTGTATTGCATTCGGTGAATTGTGGGTGACGATGTTTTGGGGTGGGTGGTGGTGGTGTGAGGAAGTGAATGAGGGGGTGTGTGGCGGATTTGTGCGTTAATATCGGAAGGGATGGAGGAGGGAGTGAGGTGTAGTGTACTGCGTGGGCAACGTTGATCTATTTATTACGCTCAAATTGAACCCGAATAACAACATGTTTGATTGACAGGCCGAATTAAAATGCAGTCTGTTACGGCTCAACGACCGAATACTCTGGAATGGGATGAAGCTCGGAGTTGTAGTGTATGTCTACTACTATTGGCGTTGTTGTACAACCGACGTCGGCCCGGACGACACGTGTGCAGCAGGTCATAATCCAGAAAGTTACCAATATTTCACGCATCATATCATCATCAACATCATTGAATTATACTTGTTGGTTAATAAAAAATGAATTGTATGTTGTCAAATGGACCCAACACAATACCTTGCAGTACTTCACATCAAAATAGCTAATGAAATCATTATGTTTTGTTACGATAGATTGTTGTGTCCAACCGTTATTATTACAATTATTATTGTTAATATAGTGTCTCTTAGTCGCCATAATAAATATATACATCAGCATAAAGGTAGCCTTCATCGAGACCAGCTACTGAAAGAACATCGCTCATATTTTCAACCAGACGCAGAATTGGCAAAATCCGTATAGGAGCAGTCTTATAAAATTGTGCTTACTCCTCAAACTCCCACCCCTTGCTTAGTTAACTTTATACGTAGAGTAAGGATTTGTAATTAGTCTTAGGATGAACGCTAAAGAATCAACTACTGGGTGAAGAACCACAATAAAGCAAACACTTTGAAGAATATTTTAATAATAAACCGAAAGTAAAAGTCGTTCAATTCATTATAGGCTCCACAACAGACAACAGAAGAAGATATCCCACAGTGTCCAGAAAACCATCCCTGGAACACGACAAGATATTCTTGTGACTGATGTCTTATAGTAGGCCTAATATGGAGAGAGCTTAAGAAGTGTAAACAATGATAGTTATTATGCAATCAATTAGGGTGGGAAGTAAAACGTAATTAGTGTTGACAATGAAACGCTGGTTAATCAATTTTTGGGTGGCGTCGGCATCCAGGAATAGGCGCTGCGTTGGAAACAGGAAGGTCGCGGCGGCGGCGGCAGAGGAGGCGGCGATGTTGCCTCTTTAGCGCGTGTCACACTCGTCACCCTTGACGAGGGGCTCGGAGGCAATTAGGAAAGTGTTCCCTCGAATTTCAGGAATTCGATTAAAAATTACAATTTTGCAAAGTGGAGTGAAGAGCGGGGGAAGCGTGGGCGGAGGCGGCGGCGGCGGAAGAGGGCGCGCGGCAGTTTACGACATCAATCAAGCCGGCGTCAAATTTTGTTTTCTGATGACAAAATGAAAAAAAGAGAGAGAGAGAGAAAACGATCGGGATGAGCGTACCAATGCAAAAAAAAATAAACGCCCCCGTTCATGAAAGAGGGCTGCGAATTAGCATTCCAATAACCTCCTTAACAATCCGTACTAATTAATAAATGGGCTAACGAGAAGAACTAGAGTTCGTGATTTTAATAGGCCTTTTGTGAGTTTGATTCGGTTTTGGGAATTGTGCATGTTTTTTGGCCGTCGACGGCGCAGGATGAGGATCAGAGGGTGGAGTTGCGAGGAAGGAGTAAAACGTGTATGTGTACGAGAGAGAGAGAGAAGGGACAGAGATATTCTGCTTGCTCTAATCGTCTTATAATCTCAAAGTAAATGCAAACACAGAGAGCATCGCAAATACCCGCTTAATAATCCAGGGAGGTTGTCGTGCGCACACGAGGGGGTTGTTTCGTAATCTTGTAAATATTTCCAGTACGCATTTCAGTATGTGCGTTGGGAATATATATGGTATAATCCGGGAATCCTTTGAAAAGGCACGCAGAGGAGGATGAGGGTGGTGTTGTTGGTAGGGGGATCGAAGGGAATGGAAACCGCCACAAGCCGACGTCGACGTCGTCCTCGGCGGTGGCGGCGGCTTCCCTTTCAACGTCAGATTTAAACCCTTCTTCTTAGCCGCCTCAGACGACGCGCTGAGGGATCGCGAATGTCACTTGTCACTCGGGCGACTAATGTGGGGTGTCGTGTATCAAAAACCGCCCCCACACACACACACACCCCTCTGCCTTGATGACATTCCGACGCTGCAAACCGCCCTCTCTCGACGTCCCGCACCCCTCACGGCTCGGGTAATAAGCCCTGATATGCGAGAGCCTACTAATTTGCTCACTGAGTTACATCACTATCATTACCTGTGAATTTTGAGCTTGAAGTTAAGACTTTTTCGCTTCCCCTCCGAAACGCATTAATTCTGCCGCTGACGCAACACTTTATTGTCGTCATATGACCGGAAATTTATCACATCTTCCGAACACTTCATTTTCATACAGAACCTCACATAACTAACCAATTAAACAAACTAAAAACTACAGTCAAATTGTACCAACAAATTAAATTAAAAGTACCAAACAGTTTATAGTTAGTTTTAACTGTCATAACATTCTATGACAACCAATAATAATCAACTAATACACATAAAAACACAAAATCACACAGTATTCACACTTTATATTTAATGTGTATCAACATTATATTGGTGAATTTATTTTTAGGCTTCAACAAATCAATTAAGACGTTAACATAAAATAATAATATTTCTAAATTTCTTCTAAAAACAAACTTTTCAAGTAAAACTTTTTCAAGCATAATTATAATGCTAATGTTCAAAATTACAATTTACTTTATTACAAACTTCATTATGCTTCATTAATTTTCATTTCAGTCACCTCGAAAAAAATAACAAAAATATAATTAACAATTTAAATATATACTCATAAAATATACATAAATTTATCAATTGAAGTCATCACGCATTTGAATTTCTTATGTAATATTTCAATATGCAATTAATATGTTTTTTTTTATCTATTTGAGTGAAACATAGACTAATCCATCATCATGTAAAGTACTCAAGAAAATAGCATTTATTACTTCATAACTTAACTTTATGTATACCCGAAATATACCCAATAAAATTGCTTTCTAGGAAAGACGAAATGTTCCATCTCATACCACTAAAAGGTTAAGTAATAACACTCTTTACATATTCTTTAATATAACAAAATTGTGCTTTCTATTTATCAAAAATATTATGTAATAATAATAATCCTTCTGCAAATAATTTAATATTGAAACGAACACATCCTTAATCTAGAGACTTATTTGCATGTACCTACATTTGGATCGATATTTAATTTGCGTAGAAGATGCACGTTGTATTGTAATCATTCTGAATATGGTTAAAAGGATTCTATATTTATATGAGCACGACGTGGAAAGAAATCATTGTGTAAATATGATTATTATATTGCCCTTCGTAACGGGGACGTATCTATCCTCATGTCAACGTTTGTTTGTTCGAAATAATTCGTCCTTCGAATATCATCAAAATATAATAATTTCATATTCATTTCGTTGTCGTTCTAAATGAAATTATATCACAGAAACATAATTTTATTTGACAGTTAAATTATTGATTTTTATGCAATTTTAAATTAAACAATGTATATAAATATGTTTTATGGTAGTAGTTCAATATATATTTCAAATTCTGTGCAAAATTAGTAAAAATTTTAATATTTAATTATAAAAAAAATGGACTAATTTTTATACTCACTTTTTCTCTATTATTAGAAACGCTACAAACATGTAATATTACATAAAACAATTGGATTATTCGTAATTTATGAATGTGCTATGAATATTGACATAACTTATACATTATAGAAATGGCGGCAGATCAAAGTAGTAACGCTTCTTTTATGACAGTTCTAATTATTTGATATAGCTTACAGAAAGTATAAGAAATTACTGAAATTTGAGAATGCTTATTAAAAATCCATTAAAATGAAGATTATTAAATCTCCTGTAATTATGGAAATTGATTTCATGTTTATCTAAAATATTCAAGAAAAAATCAGTATTTTATGTATGGTCGACCTTCTAAATGTTACATAATTTTCGGAAGTTTCGATTGACATTAAGTGCGCATTAAAGGGGATACATCATATTTTTTGAAGCAATCTGGATACTAAAAAAAAAAAATTACACGAATTCACACGTGATGATGACTGGTTACATTTTTATTACAGATCACGTGTTTTATTCTTTCTTTTTCTCTCTTGATCCTGATAATAATAAAAAACAGAAGAAAAAAAATGCTGGGGGTTCATAAATATAAAATTGTTCTTTTTTTGGGGGTGAGTTAAGAATAAAAAAATGTACTATACAGCATATACATTTAGATCTCTATCGGGGCGTAATTCACGAAACGTGTAATAATGTTGGAAACACCTCTTTGATTTGCGGCTCTCCACTCGAGCCACCCCAAATTTCACGAAAATTTCACACACCGAAAAACACACCGAAGGGAACCGCGTATATTTACACTCGCTCCTTTCCTTCTCCAACGACCTCAAATCTTCCATCCCTCCGAAAGAGAAGAAGAAAAAAAGAGGAAGTCATAAGTCGGTGCTGAGTTTTTCCTCGAACATGGATTCATTCCACTTCTGCCATGGAAATATTTCTCCGGGGAATTGTCCGATAAATTTTGGAGGGGCGCATTTTTATAACAGCACTGAAAACAACAGCATTAAATTCATATGAGCTGTTACCACTATGTATTATGTGTATACCATTAACTAAACATGTATAATCTTTGATTTTCACATATTTATCAAAAAAATGCATTTTTTCTAAAAATTATTAAAGAATAGTAAAATTTATTAAAATAAGTTACGTTTTTTTAATATTCGCAATTGGACAGTTTTTTATAATTTCACATAATTATTGAGATTTTTTCACATTTATTTATGAAAATATTTACGTTTTTTAATAAAGAAGGGAATTTAACATAATTATTTATTAAAAAATGCAATGTTTTTCATTTTTACACATTTATTTATGAAAATAGGTACGTTTATTGGTAACATTTATTAAAACATACGTTTCTTAATAGATTTTTAGCAAAATTTCTTCAAACAATTCGCATTTCGTATTGGGATTTAATTTGATGAAAATATTGGATTTTTCGAAAAATATTAATTTGTACTTAAAATTATTAAAACAATCCTCGGTTCTTGATGGGATTAGAATTATGAGAATATATGCGCTTGTTAATAGGATTAGAATAATGGGAATACTGGAAATTTTCAAATTTCACTGAATTATTTAGCATTGAATTTATACACATATATTTAAGAAAATACAAACGTTTTTAGTCAAATTTATTAAAATAA